ACAAAAACGAGAGGATGCCATTGTACGTTCCTTTGGGATGGGCAGCGTGCCTGCCCTCGGGGTGCCAGAAACCAGCCTAGGAAAGTCTGAAATGTCGTGCGGGTGTTCCCTCCTTTGTCCCCCCCCCTTCCTTCTAAAGAAAAATAAAAGCCATGAGAGGAAATCAAATGGATAAAGAAGGCTGTGGTAAGACAGCCGTTCTTGAGGAAATGACATGGTGCCCGTTGTTCTACTCAGGGGTCATTTTGTAGAAAAAGAGGTGCAGGAGCTCATTAGCACAACTTATTTGCATATGCCACACCCCCTGACACCACCGGAAGTGTGTCAGAAGGCAACACCCACCGCTCAGGCGCCACTGGACTGTTTTGGATTGGTAGCTATTGGGGGGGGGCATGCAGATCTGTCCTCGCAGAGGAGGGAGAGCTTGAACCTGAATAAAACTGGGTCTTAAAGGTGCCACTGGACTGTTTTGGACTGAGGGGCCGGGGGGAGCTCTGCAACTTACCTGGCTGCTTCTTGCTCTGACTGAGGGCTGCTGGGAGCAGGGGGTGGGGGGCTTGTTGCATGTGCCCGCCCCCTGGGCTCTTTACTGCCAGAGCTCCGCTCCTGTGCGCTCCTGCAGGAAATGACCCCTGGTTCTACTGGAAATTCATGGAATCCCGGTGTCTCTTAGAAGCTGTCCCCATTAAGCTTGGATTGGTATTTTACCCAGGTAATAAACAGATCCCGAGAACAGAACGGAGCAGCTATTCAGGAAGTTGCCAGTGTCGTGTAGTGATTAAGAGTAGTGAACTCTACCAGGCCCGTAGCCAGGATCTTGTGGCTTGTGGGGCAAATTTTTTTCCTGGTGGGACTGAAGTTCTCAGAGCAGAAAGAAAAGCCATTGAGCCAATAGGAAGCTGTGACCAGGACAGATCTCTAAACTGCAAGCTGTCAACCCACTTTAGATTACAGTTCTCAGCTGCCGCAAGTTAATAACTTCTGCTGGCCTAAGCAACAGTTCTGAGAACAAGTGGGAGGTTGGGTGATGACTTCTATAGTCCAGAAAGCTAGCACTTAGGCAGAAAAACTCTCTTAGAAGAGACCAGTTTCTTGAGACAGAGTTAGAAGGGATCCTAGAGGTCACCTACTCCAACCCCCCTTGCTGAGTGCAGGAATTAGTCAGCTACAGCACCCCACTCTGCATAAAGGAGCACACACCTATAAAAATGTTTCAAAATGATTGAAAAAAGCATTTACAAGAGAAATTCTTGTGGGGCTGTGCCTTTTCAAGAGGGGGCGGAGCCCCCAAAAGCCGCACCATAGCTATGGGCTGGGACTCTACTCTGGAAAACTGGGTTTGATTCTTTGTTCATCCACATCAAGCCTGCTGGGTGACCTTGGGCCAGTCACAGGTCTCTCAGAGCTCTCTCAGAGCCACCTACCTCATAAGGTCCCCATTTTAAGGGAGAGGAAGTGAAGGCTATTGTAAGCTGCCTTGAGACTCCTTAGGGTAGAGACAAGTGGGGTATAAAAATGCACTCTTCTTCTTAAACCCATTTAACACAAGAAACCACCTAGAATATAAGTCTACGGTGATAGAAGATCCTGAAGGATTTTTTTAAACCCCCTATTGATTCACTTCCCGCTTTTCTTCCTTGGTGTCAGACTGCAGCAATCAGACTCAACAACTCGCTTCGTCAGAAGGAAAGTTTATTGAAGCAGTATTGGCAGGGCATCTACCTCAGGAACTGTGTTAAGACTAAAGCCTAAAGCACGGGGTGAACAGCGATACATTGTTCAAAGGGATCACTGGGTGGCGTAGAGCCAATGAGGGGAGGGGCCCGCCAGAATGTAAGGGTCCCACTTTCCCAGAGAAGGTGTTATGGCCGAAGCATTCAAGGCCAAGCACATAAAACATACAGATAAGGGAGCATCACTGAGGCAACCAGGAAACCGAAAGTACATTCCAAGGAGTGAACAGTTCCCCCCCCTCTAGCCTTTATGGCCGGGAGCTGACACTTGGAGCCCAAAGTTGTTGTTGTTCAGTCGTCTTCGCGACCCCATGGACCAGATCACGCCAGGCCTTCCGGTCTTCCGCCGTCCGCTGAGGTTTGCTCAACTTCATGTCCGTTGCATCGATGACACTGTCCGACCATCTCATCCTTTGCCGTCCCCGTCTTCTTTGACCTTCAGTCTTTCCCAGCATCAGGGTCTTCTTCTCCAGGGAGTGCTCCCTTCTCATTGGGTGGCCAAAGTATTTGAGCTTCAGTTGCATTATCTGGCCTTCCAGGGAACAGTCAGGGTTGATTTCTTTTAGGATTGACTGATTTGATCTCCTTGCAGTCCAAGGGACTGCAAAGTAGAAAGTTCTAAAGAGATCTCTCATCCAGGCATGGACCAAACCCAGATCCACGGAACTTCTACAAGCTTCCTCGATTATATAGGGTTGCCAGCCTCCAGGCGGCACCTGGAGATCCCCCGGAATTACAAACGGTCTCCAGACAACAGAGACCGTTCCCCCGGAGCAAACAGCTGCTTTGGAAGGCGGAGCGTGTGCCATCATCACACCTCACTGAGATCTCTCCTCCCCAGACCCCGCCTAGCCCTGTCAACACCCACCCAAAGCCCCAGGTCTTTTCCGACCCAGGGCTGACAACCCTTACTGCGTGCCTTCCAGCCGTACCCTAAAGGTTTGCCGATGAGTAGGATTTCCGTTGACAGATAATATCCAGGAGTCAGCGTTTCGGTTCAGTTTGGGTTCAGCTGTGAGTTCAGTCGACCCGGTTCGGCCCCAGACAGTAAAAATATTCACTAGTTGGCTCGCGAAATCTCTGGATTCGGGCGGGACGGCCGTGTCCGGAATCAGAAAGCTTAAATATGATTCACGCTGTGGCGGTGAACTGCATAGCAGGGGTGTGGCGAGCTAATGGGTTTAATAAACGGAGGAAGGACTAGACCCTGAACGTACTGCAAAGTCCACACAGGCAAGCAGCCAGGGTTCAGCTTGTAACACGATATGATTTTAAATTGCTCTTCAGTTACTTATTTAAATCAAGGGCCACAACTTAATAACATTTTTTTGGGGGGGGAAAGAACCAAATATAGGTGCAAAAGGGTTGCCGGTAGGGTTGTCAGATCTGGGCTGGGGAATTTGGGGGGGGGCGGAGCCTGGGGAGGGCGGGGCTTGGGAAGGGAGCCCAGCAGGTATGTGATGCCACAGAGTCCACCTTCCGAAGCAGCCGTTTCCTCCAGGGGGACTGATCCCTGTTGTCTGGAGATGAGATGTGATTCCGGGAGATAGCCAGGCCCTGCCTGGAGATTGGCAACCTTAGTTGTACATTATTAAACAATCCCCAACCCGCTAACATGCTATCTGCAGCAACCTTGGAGATAAAACTGTTGGACCTTCTCTCCTTCCAAAGGGTCTGGTCTAACAGTGGGTAAGTTTGGATCAGTCCAGGAAGGGCCTGTTTTGTGGTAGCCCCGTCTCTGTGAGATAGGCTGCCCGGTGAGGTGAGGGCTGTATCATCTCTGTTGTTCCTTTGGCCAGTCCAGCAGCAGCAGCAGCAGCAGCAGCAGGAGGAGGAGGAGGAGGAGGAGGAGGAGATTGGATTTATACCCCGCCCTTCACTACCCAAAGGAGTCTCAGAGCGGCTTACAAAACTCCTTTCCCTTCCCCTCCCCACAACAGACACCCTGTGAGGTGGGTGGGGCTGAGAGAGCTCTGACAGAAACTGCTCTTTTTCAAGAACAGCTCTTATCAGAACTTCGACTTACCCAAGGCCATCCAGCCCGGTGCAAGTGGAAGAGTGGGGACTCAAACCCGGTTCTCCCAGATTAGAGTCCACACACTTAACCACTACACCAAACTGGTTTAGGTAGGTAGGTAGGTAGGTAGGTAGGTAGGAAGGAAGGAAGGAAGGAAGGAAGGAAGGAAGGAAGGAAGGAAGGACTCTTGACTTCCCTGGTGGTCTCCCATCCAAGTACTAACCAAAGAAAGGTGGTCTCCCATCTAGAAGAAAAAGAAGAAGAAGAGATTGGATTTATACCCCGCCCTTCACTACCCAAGGGAGTCTCAGAGCATCTTACAAACTCCTTTCCCTTCCCCTCCCCACAACAGACACCCTGTGAGGTGGGTGGGGCTGAGAGAGCTCTGACAGAAACTGCTCTTTTTCAAGAACAGCTCTTATCAGACCTACGA